GGGGGGGGGGGGGGGGGGGGGGGGGGGGGGGAGGGGAGGGGAGGGGAAGGGGAGGGGAAGGGGAGGGGAGGGGAGGGGAGAAAATGAAAGTATGACAGAGTATACCAAGGGGATTTGGGAAATATGACAACTGATGTGATCCTGGCCCAGAAAAGAGACAACTGGCAATATCTGAATAAAATCTGTAGATTAGATTATAATATTGCATCAATGTTAATACCCAGATTTTACCAAAATGTTAACCATTGTACTCCCAGTTATATGACAGAAAATCCTTTGTTTTGGTAAATACACAGTGAAGTATTTAGAGTTAAAGGGGCATCATGTCTGCAATTTGCACCCAAATTTTCAAAAAGAAACTTATATACATAGCTATGTGTGCTTGTGCGTGCATGTGTAGAGAGAAGAGAGAGAAAATGACCAAGTTTGACGAGATGTAAAATGTAAACGTTAACATTTAGGGAATCTGGGAAGTGAATACAGGAATTCCTCATAACTCTTTTGCAACTTCTCTGTAAATAACATTTGTTGTTGTTGTTGTTGTTTTAATTAAAAAGGAAACTTAACCTAAGTGGCGGCCTGAGCTTTTCGCGGAGGGAGCTGGAGAAGGAGGAGGAATGTAGTAGACCCCCAACTCCTTTGCTCTTCCGTCCCCAACACTGAGAAGCACTGTAACGTCTTGTGTTTCCCTGAAAGCTACTGTGGGAGGCTGCAGAGAGTTCCCTGAGGGCAACACCCTAACCCCAAATCCCCAGAGCCTAACACAGGGCCTGGCATATATTAGACGCTCAAGCAATGGCCAATGGAAGGAATGATCGGACTTTAAGAAATGTCTGAAAGAAACTGCAGGCAATCCCCAATCTGCAAAGTTGGTAGAACAGTGGCCCTTCTGTATAAACAGCTGGGCGGCAATGAGGGGCAGGTGGCATCAGAATGAGGAGTGAGAAGCAAGGTACAGTCCTATCCTAGGGTATTCTTTATATGGAGGAGGAAGAGGAACTGAGCATGTACCCTGGGGCTGGCCTGAACTGGCTCTGTTCCTCTGGGCGGGGTGGGGGAGGACATACATGCCAGGCAGTACGTGTCCCAGCATCTGAGGTCTCCATTGGGTCCTGCATGAGCTATTTGATGCACTGAGATAAGAAGAATGGAAGGCCAAGCTTCCCCAAAAGAACGTTAAGGCTTGAAATAGCTCTGTATTCAATTTTGTTCTTACCTCCCAAACCATTTAGTACTCGGTTTTTCAAATTCACGTGGACTGGGCTTCCCTGGTGGCACAGTGGTTGAGAGTCCGCCTGCCGATGCAGGGGACACGGGTTCGTGCCCCGGTCCGGGAAGACCCCACATGCCGCAGAGCGGCTGGGCCCGTGAGCCATGGCCGCTGAGCCTGCACGTCCGGAGCCTGTGCTCCGCAACGGGAGAGGCCACAACAGTGAGAGGCCCGCGTACCGCAAAAAAAAAAAAAAAAATCACATGGACTATGCACATGAGGTCTGAAATTAAAATCATTTAAATTACCAAAGTTCAAGAAAGCTTGGAAAACGTTAACAGATGAAAAACGTGACTTTGCTTCGAAAACTTCGCTAATTCAAGAACATCCTAAGAGATTGCTTTTCCAGCAACATTTAATTCTGAATAGAGATAAAGGGAAAATATACATATAATTCACAGGAGTGTTAAGTATCAGGGGATGTTCCTATAATCCACAGAAAATTGGGCCCTACAACAAACGTGCTTTTTCTAACCATCAAGATACAATTTCACAATCATGAACACTGTGTGATAATATTCCAGACAAAAATTAAACAAGAACTGTGGCACATAACCGAGGACAGGACTCCAAAGGGCCAACCTGATTTGCATATTAATTCAAACAGGGACCTTTTTGCTTTAATAAGGAATATCATTTTTGAGGAATCTCTAGGTGAGATTGCCATGCTCACTGGTATAGAATTGTCGACCAATTTATTTGAAAATGAGCTCCTATGATAAACCCAAACCATAATGAGGAAAAGACAACCCTTCCTGATCAGTAAATAACAAACAGTGAATCCACAGAGGAACCAGGGCAGGCTGGTACTGCTGTCCTCTCTCCCTCTTTACACGTCACATCTGGGAGGCCAAACAGTTCTCTGTCAGAGTCAATCCCTTCCTCCAACTTAATAAGGACAGAGGGTTATCTCATCCTCAGAGTTTTAGTTGCCAGTTATTAGCCTGTTTGTCCCTAACACCCTCCAGCTTCCTATCTCCCATTTCAAAGCTGTCCTGCCTCTCCAAAATGGATTGGGAGAATCTAGACATGACATGTCTCCTGCTAGGTTCTCCTAGAAGTATGCTTTCTGTACAACCCAAAAGGATTGGGGTCAAGACAATGGGTAAGAAAGATCCCTGTTGAGCTTCCAAGAGGAGCACAGCCAGCTTCTGTCCCTTCTGTGCTCAGAATCCCTCCTGTCTCAGACATGGTCTAGGCCATGGTCTAGGCCCTGGGCCACCAGTGGCATGGCTCTATTAATGCCCGTTGAAACTACAAGGATTCGTGGTGACCTAAGGCCTGACCTAAGGGTTCTGGAAGAGACTCCTCTACGGAGCTCAGATAGAACCTCAGATCTGTATGCAAATAGGCAGATAGTATGGTCTTCTTAGGACTTCAATACTTCTGAATCCATCCCTATCTGTCCCCACACACACTCCTTCTCATTTCTCCATGACAACTCCTACTTCTGATACCCCTGGGCTGTTCTACAACTGGGATGATAAGGGCACTTCAATAAAAAATCAAGCCACTGCCTATTTTTGGTCTCAAGAGGAAGCAAAGATATTGGACCAAAGGATAGTATGACAGCTCTTGAAATGTAAGCTTTCGTGCTGGTCACCAGTTCCTAGTGTGATGTTACCAATGAAAAATGCAGAAGCTCTGCCTCTTGGTCCCCACCCAACTGGTTCTTCTTACCTTTGGTTCCATTGAAATGAAACTGTGTGTTCCTCTGCTTGAGAGAACTGACCTTTTAATCGTCCTGCTGTGATAGAAGTGGTAGTAATCCTTCAGGGCCCCGATCTGCAAAGGCAGGAGGGAAAGAATATAAGAGAGTTAACGTATGAAAAGTCTTCTGTTTTCCTGGTTTTTCATTAAAATAAGAATACAAAAGCAAAAAAAAGAAAAGGTCCATAAATTATGCAGTTGCTGGCCATGCTTAAATGTTATTTGAAGCTTGGTGATCACTTTTCAAAAGAAGGACATGTGATATGAAATGGAGTGTCCTTGAGGCGGTGACCGTGGAACTAAAGATTATAATGGGGCAGCTTGGGCTCTCCATATCTCCCTTTTAATGTTTAATTTATATGCAGCATTTTAAGTAATCCTGTATCAATCTGTATCCAAATGTATGAAAGAGAAACAAATATCAAATAGCTATCTGGTTATAAAAACACATCGCATTTTGTTTGCTCCGAGAAATGTACAATGAAAGACCTTGTTAGATTATTTATACCGTTAATTTGAAACAAGGCCTAAGCAATTGATCATTCGCAAAGAAAACAGTACTTAGTTTGTTTCCTGACTTCAGTAGACAGTATAAATACATAGCTCTTATTCACGTGTTGCAAAACTAAAAGTGGAATGAATGGCAATTTCTAAAACAAAACAAAGATCACACGTCCCACCTATCAGCTAAGCTTCCTGTGTGACAATAGTCCAATTGACTTTATCTTAACCATTTCTTTAACGAATTAGTTTTCTCACTTATGTACCCCTTTCTTTAGTTAAAAACAGGTCTGTTTAGGATAGCTGTAAAAATAAATCCCCGTCCATTCTAAGAAAACAAACTAACACAATTCCAAACAATCATATTCTTTCAGCAGACTGTAAAATGTGGATCCCATAATGGAAATTAAACCATACAATGAGCTAAGGCAGGAGAGCTTGGCTCTAGTTTTGGCCGACGGTCACCAGAAGTGTCTTCTTAGCTAAATCGCATATACTTACTATGTCTCAGTTTCATTATCTATAAAATTGGACTTCAAGTCAGTTCATTTCTCAGATCACTACAGCTGTCAAATTCCATTCTTTACCACTGACACTTTACTCGCCTTGGGCAAATACATTTAGAGCACCATTGTTCTACCCTAAAAGAATGACCATCATCAAGATGCTTTCCAATTAGGACAATTCAAAAGTTAGGCCTTCTTAATTGATAAAAAAAAAAGAAAAAAAAGGTCATTGCCCCAGCTTAATTTTTTCAGATAAAAGGTTTACTTTTCATTCCCATCTTTTCATCACATTCTCAATCATCGTCCCGCCCTTCCAATAAGGATGATCAACCAAATTTCTGTGCCAGTTAAGAGTCATCTCCTCACTGGGACTTCATGCTCTAATTGAAGGTTTCTTATCTTCATTAAATTTGAATGTCTGAAGTCTCCCATTTCTGATTCAAGTGGAACTGCCCAGATGTACACAGAAGAGATCCTGGACTCTGAAAACAAGTAGGAAATGAGGCAATCCTAGCTGCAACCTCTAATCTCAATGATTCTGGACTCTGAAGCAGTAGAAAACAATGAGGAAGAGGGCACAGGTGCCAGTCCCAGTCTCCACGGGTGTTTCAAGGAGGGTTTTACAGGCCAACTTTAAAATTCCAGAGGAGCAGGGGTAGAATTCAGGAGGGGCTGCATAATCCTCTATCAGAAATCTTAAAATCCCAAGAAGCTTAGAGCTTTCACCTCACATAGTTTCTGTCAAGAATGCTCCTTGGGGGCTTCCCTGGTGGCGCAGTGGTTGAGAGTCCGCCTGCCAATGCAGGGGACACGGGTTCGTGCCCCAGTCTGGGAAGATCCCACATGCCGCGGAGCGGCTGGGCCCCTGAGCCATGGCCGCTGAACCTGCGCATCCGGAGCCTGTGCTCCGCAACGGGAGAGGCCACAACAGTGAGAGGCCCGCGTACCGCAAAAAAAAAAAAAAAAAAAAAGAATGCTCGAGTAAATACAGTAGTTTTTGTGGAAAGGAACAGAGAATCTCTGAGGAAGAACTTTTTATCAACGTGAAAAGCGCCAGTATGTTTCAGATCATGTCCACTCAACTATTATGGAACCTCTTCGACTATAGGAAATGACTGAATTCAACTCAACTATTAAACTCAAACTGTGGATGAAATACACCCTGAAGAAATATTCAGATCCTTTGTGGCTTCAATGGTACACACCAGAACGCTGGCCTAATGCAGTGTACATGGAGCTGGAAAGCGGAACCCTTGTCCTGACTTAACTTGCTCTGGGATTTTGGATACATCACTTAACCTCTTTGGGCCTTGGTTTCCTCAACTGTGAAATAAGGACACAGGAGGTACAGTGGACAGAGACTGGGCGTCAGAGTCTAATGGGGGATAATAGTGTTTATGGGTTAGTGTGGTTATAAGGATTGAATGTAATAGCAGGTACACTGCCTAGTCAAGTCACTGTTCAGCACATAGTAAGTAGCAGAAGTTTATGAGTTTCCCTTCTAAGTTTATATTCAAATCCTACCTTCCCTCACCTCCTATCCCTCTAATTAATCCCTCACCTCTGTCTCTTGGCAGGATTCCTCTTAATCTGCCCTGGTATCACCTCCCTTATTTCACTTCCCTTATTTCACTGGCCAAAAATCAAAAGGGTTGATGATACACTGTTGGCAAGGATGTTGGCACAAATGCAGCTCGTACAGGATCAGTAAAGAGCGTACCATGGTACAAGTGTGTGGAGAGCCATTTGGCAATATCAATAAAATTATACACAGTACTTAACCTTCGACCTAGCCTTTCCACTTCTTAAAATTGATTCTATAGGTAGAGTCATTTACGTAAAAGAATGGATGTTAGTTAGAGCAAATTTTGTAAAAGCAAGAGAATGCAAACAACTAGCTGGCATCAGTAGGTGACTGGTTCTATATGAACTGAAATGCATTGTCTCCAAGGTAGTGGATAAAGAAAGAAAGAAATACAGGTGCAAAAGAGGCATATAATATGACCCAATTTTTGTAGGAGAAAAAAGGAAGACTCTAGATGACATGTGTGCTTATATGCACAGGATATTTCAAGAAGGAAATTGACAAACTGGAAAAGAGGAATTTTCTTTTCATGATTTATGTGGCTGCATTATTGTTTTAAATGAAACTAACCAAAAATGAAAAAAATAATACAAATGAACACGTGAAATAGCACACACACAAATCCCACCTACTTTTCCAGGGGCAAATATGCTCCCCCAATTCCATGGGACTGATACAAGGGCCACTTCTATTGGGGCCATTAAATCTCTTTAGCAGTACACTCTATTTAATCTCCATCTTTCAGGGATTCTGTTTCCTCTATAGGGTTATGGAATGGTGTTCACTGATTGGCTGATGCCTCAATTACAGAATGCCTGCCACGTGCCAAGCATCTTGCTGCTCTTCCGCATGTTATTATATTTAACTTCACCTCCCCAAGAGCTTCTGAAGACAAATATTAGTACCTCCAACTTGATAAAGCAGGCTATTGAGGCTCTGGTAGTGCCCGAATGTACACAGCTGGTATTGTGAGCTGGTAAAGTGTAAATCTTTGTCGAATGCCTAGCATCGGGGTGAATTTAGTTAAGTTTCATGGTGCATCCCGTCAACGGGCTCACAAGACGCATTCCGACATCCTTCTAGTGAGCCTTCCTATACTGCAGAGCTAAATTCTACGCAGCCAGGGTTCTGAATGTGATAAGGTTCTGCCAATCAAAGGCAGACTGTGGCATCGTGAGGCATGCTCCTGGAGGCATTTTCGTGTTTAGTGGTGGCTGTGGCTAAAGGTCTTAGTACCTGGTTGCTAGCTTTCTGGGCATTCACTTGCACATCCTGTTTCGTCAGTCAGTTGGTAAGAGATTTTAGAAGGACTACAGGGGCATCATAGGGTAGCTTCCTCCTTCCTCAGCTTCCTCACTGAGGCAGAAGCAGCAGCTCTGGTGGAGGCCCATGCTGTGGGGTGGCTTTGGGGGCCTTTTCTGAAAACTTGGCCCTCCTGATTGATACTCCAAGCTATTTAATAGTCAATACTGAATGCCTTCCAAAGCAGACCAAGCAGTGGATTCAGTAGTTGGCTCCCCTGAATATTCCAAACTGGACAGATGAGAATTTCTGAAAAAGTAGCTTTATATATATACAATCTTGCACAACTTAGAGATCCTCGAAGGTATGTACCTTTTGAGTCATGGGCTACAGGCACCACTGAGCCACAGGCTACGGATGACCCACTGTGTCTGCTCTAACATCCTGTTAGATGACTACACTGGCTTCTTGGCTTCTCACAGCCGTTCATACCAATCTCCTCTCTCAAGTCTTTCTATACAGTAGCCAGCATAAGGTTATAAATGTACATTTGACTGTCATGGTTCATACGCCAGCTTCAAATCCTTGAGTGGCTTCCCTTTGCTGTTAAAATAAATAGTAATATTTAATAATATAATTTTAAAGTTAATAATAATATCAACATTTATTCTGTGCCAGGAACTAGTCTACATGCTTTATCTAACTCATTGAATAAAAGCACTGTGGCCACCTCGATGAACCTGTCAGCTCTCTCAGGCTGCTTGTTTGCCTTGTTTTCCCTCCTGCCCTGTCCAACTTACAGATTTCCCCAAATTCTGTACTCCTTTTCGAAAAGTTATTTACTATCAGCCCACAAATAAAATTTTTTTAATGGGCAAAAGTTTGAACAGACATTTCACAAAAGATATACAAATGGCCAATAAGCACGTAAAAAGATGCTCAAATGCAAATTAAAATCATAATGGCACTATACACATACCAAAATGGCTAAAATTTAAAAGGTAGACAATACCCATTTTTACTGAGATTATGGAGCATGGGAACTCTCATACATTGCCAGCGGGAGTAGAAAATGGTTCAACATCTTTGAAAAATCATTTGGTAATTTCTTATGAAACATAACTCCTCCTCATGACCCAGCCATTTCATTTACAGTATCTACCCAAGAGAAATGAAAACCTATTTCCAAACAAAACTCAAACATAAATGCTTATAGCAGCTTTCTTAATAATAGCCCCAAA